AATAAAGCGAATGTTGATAATCTGTCTAGTAGTGGTGTAAAACCAACCAATAAACAATGTTTTGTATATTCCAATACTTTTTATATTCCGAGTTGGGTTTGAGGTAAGCGCATCTACACCTTATCCTGAAAACTATCCTCCACACGATTTCTCTGATAGATAATAATGGACGACAGGTTGAGAAAACAAAGACGTTTAGATTAAAATTAAATGTCCCACTGGAGTTGCTATTTGAGGAGTCGATTAAACTTTTCATGATTAAGATTATCAGATACATTTAAACGGAAATGTTGTAATGTTTTAATCGCAGAAATTTTAACATTGAGTTTTTCAGAATTCATGATGTAATAAATATTTGTTTAATATATAAATATTTAATAAAACAAGAATTAAGCAGAGAGATCAAATTCGATCTACCATTCCACGAAATTATATCAGATAAACCTAATGAGGTTCCAAGAGTCTCTCTCTGTTTAGACATACCCCCAAAGCGATGTTCCTATATATACAAGACGAATTTTTAAAAACTCAGAGGGTTGTCTTTTTTATATGTAGACCTTTTTAGTAGCCAACAGGACTCATTGCTCCCAAGAGAATTCCAAAATATCCGAAATCGAAATGTCAATCGGATTCTTTATCTGAGTTTGGCGAAACAGTATGTATATAAGAAATATGTACTTTCTCCATATGCAAGTTCGTAACAGAATGGTTTTAATGTGGCGAATTCTCTATTTTATCTAAGGTTATATTATTCTGATGCTTGTTTGCATAATCAGTACATTTCTATATAATTCTATATGAAATGTGTCCTCCAATGATAGATGTCATTTATCTGAATGCGCTATCATAAGTAAAGTGCACAAAACATAGACATATTATGTAAAATGTGGAACACCCATGATATAACACCGCATAAATAATGTCGTTTATCTGAATTATATATATATATATATATATATATATATATATATATATATATATATATAATAATGTCGTTTATCTGAATTATATATATATATATATATATATATATATATATATATATATATATGTATATATATATATATATATATATATATATATATATATATATATATATATATATATATATATATATATATATATATATATATATATATATATATATATATATATATATATATATATATATATATATCGTTCATTTTATCAATCTGAACCTTCGGTAATTATTGAACCAGTCGTTATTATTGGTGCCGATGTAATATTGCTTGTGGGTTTCATCACAAGTACGGCATGATCATCTAATACCAATGTAATATACATGAACATATTTTTTCCAAATTTGAATTAAAAAGCAGATTTTGTAATACCATCTGAAGCGCATTTCACTGAATATGATGCTATGTTAAAGTATTTTCTAGCAGAATAATTTACTTGAACGTAATTTCTTCCCTATTCTCAATATTTACAGATTTAAAATACCTTGAATATCGTGCTTCGCCAGTGTTTCCAAATTTATACCTTGGCTTTTCGTCATAATTCGTAAATTATTAACTGAGTTATCAAGTTAATCACCACTGATGTGATTAAAAATCGATCCATCATCGGTTAATCCGAAATAACACTCGAAGATGAATCTATGTGATAAATAATTTTTATTTCCATTGGTATTAAATGCAATAATAACCAAATTTATTAACACAACCGACAGTTTTTACAGTCTGCAGTTCCTGATAGTATTATCACGAGATGCTTTTTAATTTGTGATGATTGGATGCAATACAAACTCATTTTGCTCCATTCATATGCTAATAATCTTTGTTTAAGTCATTATTTTGAAAATCTAGCCAATTAATCTTTAGTTTTTATAGGAGATTCAGCTAAGATTTTATATCTTTTTATCGTAATATCGTTTCACCTCTCTGTATTTTTACTACCGCATTGCGTACAACACCACACCAAATACACAGTTCTGGTCTTAGACTACTGTGTCTAACGCATTGCATATATTACTGCAGAATTCGTTTACGCAAGGTTTGTTACATGGAGACGTATAACCAATTTTAGTCCAATGACAATGATGATTTGGTTGAATCCCATATCTATATATATATATATATATATATATATATATATATATATATATATATATATATATATATATATATATATATAATACAAACAATACTATCATACAGGTTAGAGAAATTAAATTCGTACTCTACTGAGTTTTGAACCCAGGTCCGCGAGTAAATGGCATCAGCCCAAATACCGTCACAATTAAGCACGCATTACCAAAAATTGATGGTACTGAGTCGCTGTTATATAATCTCGCGCGTAGTCGTGACGGTATATGGGCTGGTGCATGCAGACAAGGCGATGGGTGCCATTTACTCGCGGACCTGGGTTCGAAACACCGTAGAGTACGAATTTAATTTCTCTAGCGTGTATGATAGTATAGTTTGTATTAAACGATTATTTCTGCCCACTATTATCAAGTTCCTACTACAGAATCTAGGGATAGCACAGTCTGTTCTGTCTGGTATATATATATATATATATATATATATATATATATATATATATATATATATATATATATATATATATATATATATATATATATATATATATAGTTAATTGTAAAGATAGACAATGATATTTGGATCGTCTGAGATAAGCGCGATTTTGTGCAAAGGTCAGGGAATAATATTGTCCTTGGCGAAAACTCCAAACCGAAAATGAGGAAATGAAACATTTAGCCCATTACCTTTAATCTGGTGATGTTGAACAAATACTAAATAATTGCTTTACCGTTTTATCAGTCGTTGCTCACGCTGCTCATGAGAAAATTCGTGGAAAACGACAAGATTGGAATTTCTTGAAGATGTCCAGAGGAATTGTATCGAATACGGACAAGGTGAATTGTGGAATAACTAAATATGATTGCACCGACGTTATCTCGGTTGATATGGTAGTGTGTTACCATGAATTTTTTTTGGGATACGGAGAATGTTCTGACTAGAGCTGCGATAAACGGACCACTTCCAAATTTTGACTTAACCGGATTTGCCTGTATAGAATCGTTCGACTTATACCCGGATCTCCATCCGATTGTTTATGCGTGGTTTAGAAGACATTTTGTCAGAAAACTGCTGGGCTCCAATAGTACTATTGCAGTATCTAATTGATGTTAAAATTTCAGTATCTTTACGCGTAAGTGAAGCAATTATATCATACCGCGTGCACAAACAAAAACATGACATATTTGATGCTAATCCTGAAGACGATACTGTTAAGCACGGTGAGAAATTTGCAAAAGATCTCGGCAGAAAAATGATCGGTAAATGTACACAATGAGGATCACATAATCATAAACGAACGTGTACAAGATTAAATCATGGACGATGCTTAACTCGATTTTATAATTGCTGAAACGTCGGAGAAAATACATTTATAAGCCAATGTAATGCTAATTTATCAGACGACACAAAATTAGGTACTATTGTGAGCTATACTGATGGCGATTTACTGCAGTTTACTCATTTTAGATCTTCAATGCTAGCGTACATTTCGATAAATCTATCATCGATTATAAACAGATTTCCTCGTTACGTAGTTAGAGTCGCGACATATTCATTTTATATAAACAAGAAGAATGCGGATTAGTTAAACAATTACATATTAACAATCATGCATCATGAGGCGAATGGAGAATAAAATATAAAGATATACTTGGTTATTCTGAATCTGCCGACGTTGAAATTGCGGAGACATACGACAAGAATTATAATCAAGTATCAAAGTCATCGGCAACATCTGTAAATGATCCTATAGATAGACAAAAGACTGTTTATCTTAAAGGATGTGGTGGTTCAGTTAAAACAACTAGTGCGATTAACTTATTTATGAATAATAGTTCAGATATAATTGTTTTGACACCTACACATAAACTCGCCAGCGAATAAAAGAAAGAGGATTAAAATAATGTACATGTCAACATTTCTTCAGATGGTGCGGAGATTCATGGATTCCATCACGAATTTTAGAAAAATACATTCCTAAGACTATTATCTGGGAAGAGATATGCACGGTGTTGCTATAGGTATTAAACTATTTATTGCTGGACTATTATTAACGAATATTGTTGTGATAATGTGTGGCGATCATGGTCAACGGCCACCCTTTACTGGATCGTCTTCACATGAGTGGCTGAAAATATGTGTAGGCTATTACGAAGAAATAATTGATGACCAGGGAACTATTGACAAACCGTTGAAAGAGTTTAAAAAAGTTAATAAGACTCTACAACCAGATCAAATACAGTGTGAGATAATGCCTAAAGTATTTCCAGAAACGTCCATGAATGACTTTTTGACTTTATGGAAACCTGCTGATTTGATAGTTGCGAGTAGAAAAATAGTTCGTGATACACTTCAGCGGGAATTATTTAAGTTACATAAAGAAAAATTTTCAAATCTAATTGTACCTTTGTGTAATCGCCCAGCAGATACTAGTCAACAAAATGTTGATGTTGAGATTTCTGGTGGTGGAATACAAAATCTTGTGCTAAATGATATTGTTTTAGTCGTTGTTGTTGTTGAGAGCGCGTTAAACATAGATAAATAGTCGTGGACGTTAGGATACGCTATAATGATACACTCGTCACAGGGATTAACTATCGCTGATAGTTAATCTGGATCGTCGATGGTCGTATTGAGTGGTCAAATTTAGTTTATCTCGTAGTGTCTCGAGTCAGAAGAATATCTCAACTGAAGCTGTGGTTATAATTTTTAACATAGTTTTTAACAATTTTTCAGTCATATCGCTACGATGTCTGCAGTGTGGGAGATTTTAGTGATGTCTAGCACTGGGGCATCATGCCGCAGACATATAAAGCATGATGTCGCACCCAGTCACATTATCCTGACACCAGGATGACCAGTCCTAACACTGACCTCTTAAAGCTGAGCGTCAAGCAAGACAGCTGTTAGTACCATTTTTGTAAGTCTTTGGTATGACTCGACCGGGGATCGAACCCACGACCTCTCGCATCAGAGGCAGACGCTCTAACCACTAGGCCACCGGAACGGTTCTCAACTGAAGCGGGTTCACATGGATTGAGTAATAATCGAAAAAGTCACTAACAAAGTGGATATCAATAAAAAGCAATGTGACAAAAATAATCGCAATTTGATATAGATGCTGAATTTATTATAACGCTAAAACAACGACAAAATAATCATTGTGCAAGTTGTAACGCAGTAGTATTGTGGCAGTATTTGAGCAATAGCCCAAGACAATTTATCGTTGATAGAATTAACAGTAGACTTGTGATGTGATGCTGACCTATCTTGAATATAATAAACGTTGGGGAACTAGTTTATAAAATTGCTTGGTGGTAATTGTGTATCCGCAGGAATTATTTGTAATTGTTTGCGTACAATTTCACGCTGAGGAGCAATTTAATCTAATCTGTAGATTGCAGGTCTACCTGTGGACCTTACCACGCTGGAAATTTTGTGTGTGGTCACACTCCAGATAGGATCAGTTATTTTTCTGCCTTCTTCAAGTTCGCCAGGTTCATATAAATATTTTACAGTAACATTAGATAGTAGTGGTTCAGAAGAAGATTCACATTTTATTGGTATATATTTTTTGTGATCGCATTAGAAGGTTTCTTAGAAGTTGCACGAGTAATTTCCTTATTCAATGCAGCTATCACACTTGGTAACCTTGCAACCCATTCACGAGATCTATCCTCCTGAACTTTGTTCAGGAGCTTAAAGTCAGCAGAAATTTCCTTCGCATACTGATATACGAATAACCGCTCAGCAAGTGTTCGATTAAACCTTTCAAGAGGTAAAATATATTTTCTTTTCCATTAAATATAAAATTGTATATTTCTGCCTTCATTCTTTTATGAAACACTTCTGATAAATTCGTTCAAACGCAGAAACAACTTCAGATGCTGTTTTTGTTGTTAATGGTTCCGCATCTTTATATCTACTCGCAACGTCAACGACAGTTAACGCGTATTTGCATGTGTATTGACGTCTGCAATTTTAATGGTATCGTGTGTTAAACACAAGATATCCGCTTGATGAACTTCATTATGGGTGCTGACATCGAAATGTGCGTATTTAATTTTTTTAGGTGGTTTTAGATAGATTTGCCATATTGCCTGTCGTGCAAACCACACTGCAGCAACATCACTTGAAACTTTTGCTAATCGCTGCTTTACCTCTCCAATAACCTCTCGGGGAATAATAAACATATTCCATTATAATAATCAGTTGAATAATTACCTGCCCCTAGCATTATTTTACCTTTCATATCAGATTTTACTAGAAAACTAACAAGTTTCTCTCTGAGAGATTTATTAGGTATGGAATTTAACGAATGAATCATGAAACAACTTTACATCTGGTAATTTCCCTAATGAAGCAGCGATATTACCACCACGCGCTATCTGCCACGCGGAAATAAATTTATATTTGTTTGTACCACATTTACACACTTGCCTGTAATTGAGCGTCTCTTATTTTTGTTGTTATCGATGTCAATCCAAAAATGGGGTTAATGCTCTACATAGAACGCATTATAAACTTATATTATTATTATATGGATATAACTGACTTTTCTGCGACACGAAAACAAAAGCCAGTAAGGCACCATCCAGCGTTACCAAATTCTATCAGAATGATTATAATAGGCCCATCTAGATCTGGTAAGACACAATTATTGCTTGATCTGATAATGCGATGGCTCCAGTGGAGTAAATTAAATTTTGTAGATGATCAACGATGTTACGAAATGCTTAAAGATTTTAATCAAAATGTGAAATTACTGGATGAAGACAAAAATGATATCATTGATTTTATTACCGATATTGATGAAGCTCCATCTGTAGATGACTTAGATGGATTTATTAATAATCTCGTAGCATACGATGATGTGATGCTAGACAAACAATTCAATCCTGCTCGCATATTTTCTCGAGGTAGACATACAAATACTGACGTGATTTATGTTACTCAGAGATACACACAGATACCTAAGGTGATCAGAGACAACTGCAATATTTTAGTTGTGCTTAGATAATTATACTTTTAAATTATTTATTATACTTGGTGTTCAGGAGATATGAACACGATTAAATTTAAAATTTCTTTTCAAAAGCAAAAGCTGCTTCGTACGGATTTATAAAGATAAATTAACATAATCCAAGATCAAGGTATCATGTAGGTTTAGATAAAATGTTTAATCCTTGATTTTAATTCATAGCAGCAGATAGGGTGAATAACCAAAGCAGTGACCAGCGTTAAAAACAATAGTCAAAAAATAATCTGACCAATTATAGAAATTTTTGGCTTAAACGCCATCGACATTATTTTTTAGCCTCGTAGGAAACTTTATTTTTCAAAAATAAGGTCTTAGACAAAGTGGACTCTTCACCCTCTCTGCTGAGATTATCATTGGCGGCTGAAACGTGCAGAACATGAGAACCATCATTGTTCTTAGCAGAGATGTCTAATTTTGCCTCAACCAGAGCCTCCACCAGAGCAACACCCTTTCCTACAGTACTGCTGTGCACCGTTGCCAATCATATGTTGTGTGTCTGTTGCAATAATTGTGGATTGGGTTCATTCAAACATTTAACTATTTAAGATTATAATTGGAGTCTGCAATGTGTTAAACACGAGGACCATCATTGATCTTGGCTGTAATGTATAATCTTTCCTCTGCCAGAGCCTCCACTACATCAACACTACCTTTTGTCAGTAGTATAGTGTACTGCAGTCAATCCTCTGTTGTCTGTTGCAACAATTGAGTATTGATTTCAATCAAATATTTAACTATTGTCAGATTATAATTGGCGGCTGCAATGTGTAGACGTGAGATCCATGATTGGTCTTGGCTGTGATGTCTAATCCTGGTTTTATCAGAGCCTCCATCACTGCAGCACTACCTCATGCAGCAGTACAGTGCACTGTTGTCCCTCTGTTGCAACAATTCATGATTGGTTTCAATGAAATATTTAACTATTGTCAGATTATCATTATCAGTGGTCGAAATGTGTAGAACGTCAGAACCATCATTGGTCTTGGTTGTGATGTCAAATTCTGCCTCTATCAAGAGCCTTAATCAGAGATGAATTCCCTCTTTCAGCGGCATGGTGCACTGCTATCGATCCTCTGTTGTATGTTGCAGTAATTGTGTTGTTGTTGTTGTGGGATTTAACGCCATTTTTCAACACACGATAGGCTATACATGGCGGCCAGTATTAATGGTGGAGGAAGAAACCGGGAAAGCACCAGAAAGAACCACCGACCCACGAGAAGCTACTGGCAAACTTTCTCACATATCCACATTCGTCGAATCTTAGACTCGAACCCACGCAGACAGAGGTGAGATGGCAGTGATCTGTAACGGACAGCGCTTTAGACCACTCGGCCACTCGGGGCCTCCGCAGTAATTGTGGATTGTTTTCAATAACATATATAACTATTGTGAGATTATCATTGGCGGCTGCAATATTTAGAACATGAAAACCATTATTAGTGTTTGCTATGATGTATAATCCTGCCTGTATTAGAGCCTCCATCAAAGCAACACTATCTCTTGCAGCAATACGATTGACTGTTGTCCGTTCTCTGTTCTCTATGCAACAGTTGTGGATTGGTTTGAATCAAATATTTAACTATTGTCAGATTAGCATTGCTTGGAGCAACCATCATTGGTCTTTCCTGTGATGTTTAATCCTGCCCCTATAAGAGCAGTAATTCGAGCTGGAATACCTCTTGTACCAGTATGCTTCACTGCTGTCTGTTCTATTTTGTCTGCATGTTGCAATAATTGTCGACTGGTTTCAATCAAATATTTAACTATTGTCAGATAATCATTGGCGGCTGCAATGAGTAAAACATGAGAACCATCAATAACCTAGGCTATGATGTCTAATCCTACCTCTATCAGAGCCTCCATTACAGCAACCTCTTGAAGTAGTATAGTGCACTTCTGTCCATCTCCTGTTGTCGGTCTGTTACAATAATTGTAGACTGGTTTCAGTCAAATATTTAACTATTGTCAGATTATCATTGGCAGCTGCAATGTGCAGAAGATGAAAATCATCATTGATCTTGGCTGCGATGTATAATCCTGCCTCTATCAGAGTCTCTATCACAGCAACACTACCTTCTGCACTGCATCATTTTTAATGCACTGTTCTCCACCATATGTTGTATGTCTCTTTCAACAGTTGTGGATGGTTTTTAATCAAGTATGTAACTACTGTTAGATTACCATTCGCAAATGCAATGTTTAGAACGTCATAACCATCACTGGTCTTAGTTGTGATGTTTAATCCAGCCTGTATCAGCGCCTCCATCACAACAACACTACCTCCTGCAGCAGCTCAGTGCAGTGCTATCCATCCTCTGTTGTTTCTATGTTGCAACAGTTGTGGATTGATTTCAATCAGATATTTAATTATTGCCTGATTATCATTGGCGGCTGCAATGTGCAAAACATGAGACCCAATAATTTTCTTGATTGTGATATCTAATTCTGAATGTATCAGAATATCCATCACAGCAATACTACCACTTGCAGCAGTATGCTCCACTGCTGTCCATCCTCTGTTGTCTGTCTGTTGCAACAATTGTGGATTCGTCTCAATCAAGTATTTAACTATTGTAAGATTATCATTCGTGGCTGCAATTTCTAGGACATGAGAACCATCATTGGTCTTGGCTGTGATGTCTAATCCTGCTTCTATCAGAGCCTTCATCATAGCAACACTACCTCTTATACCAGTAGAATGCACTACTGTCCATCCTCTTTTGTTTCTCTGTTGCAACAGTTGTGGATTTGTTTCAATCAAGTATTTAAGTATTGTCAGATTATCGTTGGCAGCTGCAAGGTGTAGAACGTGACAACCATCATTTGACTTGGCTGTGATGTCTAATCCTGCCTGTATCAGAGTCTCCATAACAGCAACATTTCCTCTTGTAGATGCAAAATGCACTGCTGTCCATCCTAATCTGTCAGTCTCTTGAGACAGTTGTGGATTGGTTTCAATCAAGAAT